AAAAGATAAATACTCAGTCCCCGCCATTTTAAAGAAAAAAAACATCAGGGGGAGTAATTACGATGGATTGAAAGTCTTCGGAATTGAGGCAATTACAAAGGACTTAGATAGTGGGAGGAGATACCAAGAGCTCTGCAGAAGAGAAAGTTTTTGGATCTTTACATTGGGTACCTGTTCCTAGAGGTTTAAACGATGACCTTGAGATTCATACTCTCATCTAGCCACTTAGGTAGTGCAAACACAATTAGTTTATCTCTACTTTTTTTTCCACACTACTTTCACATTTTGCGATTTATTATATCAATCATATCTAGTAATACATATACTGCTGCCATCAGGAATGTGTTGAGAGTGTAAGGAATGTGGTTACCTATTACTAGCCTGACAATAATAATCTCTCTCCTACTGTACCATACTACAAGTACACATATGATATGGTCCCTTCAGTAGTTTGGTGCTAACTAGTGACTCCCTAAGACTGTTAACATACTGCAAGCCACGGTTCATGGATCTTTTAAATGTATAGATATGAAGTCTATCATATCTTTATATATTTGTTGTATGTATATTATTCTATTTGGTTACACCGAATATATACATCTTCCATACAGGGTCCCGTCACATATGCTGCTATTACCATTCACCCTATTAAGAAGCCAAAACCAAAACCAAAAATAATAGATTGCTTTACGGGTTTAAGGTGCAAGTGATGGCCTGTATGCTGGATCATAGTATCCTAATATTAGACTCTCTCACTATCAGTAGTACTATCATTGGATCATTTTAATGTCTTTTATCAGTACTAGGGTGCTAAGCGCCTATATCGTGGTTTTTACCTCAATATCTAACGTGCAATTATGTGTATAGAGTCTTAAGTTTGTATTTATGGATTTTATCTTATATCATATTATTTATTTATTATTATTTTTCTTACTGTATTTATCTTCATGCTATTACACTTGTGTTCTATACATGATGATAGAAGGCGTTCATGTGAACATATGCCTATATGTCTCATATTTTTACCCACCGGCAAACACTACTGTCATATCCATTAAGGTGTTACACGCATGTGTATGTAGTGTATACACATGTATACATGTGTTCATGCTGATGTCTTTCACTTCAATACACCTCTGGAGTGCGGACAGCCCAGGGCCCGTCTGACTCCACCCCATTTGATTGGCTATGACGTGCACTCAACTGCAAGTTTCGTCAGAGGGGAATCCCCATAACAGTTTCCCCCAACTAGAGCGCTCGTCAGAGGATGGGGGGGGGGGGTGGCAGGTCTGGTATCTTACCCAATAGAGCGGTGTTGGTGTACGCGCACAGAGTGGCCGTCAGATGCGCGTGATGCGCGCTTTTCACGTGATCGCGGACCACGGACCTGTTCCTCCTCACACTGCGCATGATGCGCATGTTGGTCCACGCATGCGGCAGTCACGAGCATTCATACTAGCGTGCGCTTCCACACTCAGGGTAAACCTGCAGCTATAGAGGGAAGCATAAGATCTCCCTCTGCTGTTGACTATACATTACTACGGATCCAAGAGTACTGATCCAATTCCTCTCCATTGTGGGTTTTATATTCTTCATATTTATACATGTGTTTGTGTCACTATGGACACTTAACCATTAAGACATCCATTGACTAACAATTTATTGTCTATTGTTACATTAATTGTCTCTATATACTACATCCAGCTTTCATGACAAGTCCTCTGGATGTTTTTTTGTCCATTTGATATCATCGCTCACTAATGAAGTTCATGGAATAAGACTAACTATTTTACTTTATATTTTTTATGTTTCATTTCATGTTATTATCTTTAATTCATCTTTTTCCAATGTGTTCATCGCCTAGTTGATATATTATTTTATTATATTTACACTAAGTGGTGTATGCAAAATGTGGTTTTTTATATATTTTTTATATTTTTATATCTTATATTTTTGTTTGTCTATATCATTTCTCTCTGATGGCATTACAAATAGTGATTGTCTGTTGACGATATCTTGGCCCCTCCTACTAACCTGAGACTGCCCAACCCAGTGGGGAGGGCCTAGGTTCAGTCCAGGAGTATATATAGGAGAGAGCACTCACAGTTCAGTTAGCTCTGAGGAAGAAGGGACCCCCTTCGAAACGCGTCAGCTGTACTGAACACCCACTCCCCTGATGGGACTCATGTTATCTTCAAGTCCCTGTGAGGACTTACATGCCTGATTTTATTCGCTGTTTGTGAGTATATTTTTTACAATTAATAAATTTTGGTTACTGAGGTAATGCGCAAGGTTGGTGCGCTTCTTCGTTTTCATTTCATTCTGCAATGTACCCATCAGTGCCACCCACCTGTGCCCTGCAGTGCCACCCACCTGTGTCCATCAGTGCCGCCCACGTGTACCCATCAGTTCCACCCACCTGTGCCCCTGCAGTGCCACCCACCTGTGTTCATCAGTGCTGCCCACGTGTACCCATCAGTTCCACCCACCTGTGCCCTGCAGTGCCACCCACCTGTGTCCATCAGTGCCGCCCACGTGTACCCATCAGTTCCACCCACCTGTGCCCTGCAGTGCCACCCACCTGTGCCCATCAGTGCCGCCCACGTGTACCCATCAGTTCCACCCACCTGTGCCCTGCAGTGCCACCCACCTGTGTCCATCAGTGCCACCCACATGTACCCATCAGTTCCACCAACCTGTGCCCTGCAGTGCCACCCACCTGTGTCCATCAGTGCCGCCCACGTGTACCCATCAGTTCCACCCACCTGTGCCCTGCAGTGCCACCCACCTGTGTCCATCAGTGCCACCCATCAGTGCTGCCCAGCACTGCTGCCTATCTCTGTCCATCAGTGCCTCCTATCAGTGATGCCCATCAGTGCCTAGCAGCATCGCCCATCAGTACTGCCCATCAATGCCACCCAACAGTGCCACCTATCAATGCAACATCATCAATGCCCAGCTCATCAGTGCTGCCTATCAATGCCGCCTATCAGTGCCTCCTATCAGTGCCCATCATTACTGCCTATCCGTGCCACCTCATCAGTGCCCATCAGTGCTGCCTATCAGTGCAGCCTCATCAACGCATATCAGTGAAGGAGAAAAATTACATGTTTGCAAAATTTTCTAATAGAAACAAAGAAAACCTTTTTTTTTTTTTTAATTTTTTGCTCTTTTTTTGTTTATAGTGCAAATAATAAAACACCCAGCGGCAATTAAAATACCACCAAAAGAAATCTCTATGTGTGTGAAAAAAATTATAAAAATTTCATATGGGTGCAGTGTTGCATGACCACACAATTGTCATTCAAAGTGCGACAGCGCTGAAAGCTGAAAATTGGCCTGGGCAGGAAGGGGATAGAATTGGTTAAAGAGGAATATTTCCATTGAGTCCTCCCCAAAACATTACTTTGGACCTTCATTGCCTTTATCGATGTTGGTGTGATGGGGGAGAGTGCTCACCAACTGAATCCATAATGAACCATTTCAGACCCCATCTGCCCATTAAAAATAATCCAGTGTGTCTGAATGCTTGTCGGACCGCCCTATACTGGAGCTTTGTGTGTAGGTGATTGATCGTAATTGATCCTCTCTGTGTGATATAATGCTCTGTGCTAGGTCACATGGAAATCAATAGGATGTAAACCCAGAGACTGACTACAGAAAACTGTGATCTCTCACTCACGCTACTCTTTGTGTCTGATCTGCTCCATCCAAATACAAGATTTTGGTTGCTTAGGTAATATATGTGCGCATCTTAAGGTACAATGCTATTTTTTTCACACCTGTATTCGTGCTGGTGAAGATCACCACCAAGATAGAAAGTAAAGGGAAAGAAAATTGTCACCAGAGGAAGAGGTTTGGGTAAATCATCCAATGGGGACAGCTCTCCCTGTGACAACTCTACAGGGTGGGAATTTTGTTCAATTTGGGAGAGATTTCCTATCATTTCTTGTCTCTAAAGCAGGCCATACATGGGTTGAATTCCAAACGATTTTTCGATCGAAAAACTAAAACATTGTTCGTTCTGTAATCCGATGGTGCCTCCAATGATTTAGAAAATTTCACGACGAATTTTCCAGCATGCCCAATAAACTAAATGGGGAAGAACCACAAAAAATCAGCCGGGGCCATTGCCCCACTAACAGAGGAAAAATTGGTCGAGTATTCTTAGGTCTGATTTTCGAAAGTAAAATTGCTCAACAATCGACCCACGTATGGCCGGCCTAAGATAAAAAGTGAAAGTAAATCTCCCTAGTGGGACACAGGCAGAAAGATATATACAGTGTGTGTGTGTATGCATACTGTGTGCATGTCAGGGGCGGACTGACAATTTGGAAACTCGGGCACTGCCCGAGGGCCCGGGATCAGTAGGGGGCCCCGTGAGATGCCCCTGGTAGCTTTTTCATAGGCTTTTTTGAGTTTGGGCAAGGATACAGGGGCCCTATGATCCCCTATTGCCCGGGGGCCCCATGATTTCTCAGTCCGCCCCTGGTGCATGTGTGTGTATATATATATATATATATATATATATATATATATATATATATATATATATATATATACTCAGGGACCTTGCCTGGTATGTTGATTTCTCCCATTGTTATCAGCATTCACGTATGCACCAAAAAAGGGCAAATTTATATGGTATATATATATATATATATATATATACCGTATAAATTGGCCCTTTTTTGGTGCATACGTGAATCAAGGGCCACTGAACCGTGGTGGTCCCTCAAGCTTTAATAATACTCATGCTCTCTGGCAATTGCTGGGTTGTAGATTACAAGAGATGAATAGTTGCTGCTCAGGGACCTTGCCTGGTATGTTGATTTCTCCCATTGTTATCAGCATGAATGTTTATACCATTTGTGATATTTTTTAAACCAAAAAGTTTTGTAGAATTAAAAATGTTTAAAGAAAAAAAAAAAAATTTGCCCATCAAAATCACATTAAATGGATGGCAGTATTTACTAACCTGACATTCTGAACCCTTTCAGGTATTCTCCGTTGTGGTGTTTGGCTCTATAATAAATGAAGGTTACATCAACATCAACAGCCCTGAACTGCACTGTGTGTACAACAAAAATGAAGGAGCATGCAACTACGCCATCTCCATCGGAATCATTGCCTTCTTCGCTTGTATCTTCTTCCTCTTCCTGGACATTAATTTCGCACAGATCAGCAGCGTAAAGGACAGAAAAAAGGCTGTCATATTGGACATGGGCTTCTCAGGTGAGTGTCACCAACCATCGTGACCATCCAATCATAACCACAATATGACCAAGCCATTTCCACCATGGCTTTCCTCTTTGCTGGTCTGCAGTCTGGGACTGCTCTCCAACATGGGAACTGTTGGGTGATGTATGCACCTCAGACTTCTCATGCTATGAAACCCCATCCTTCACAGTAGACATCCTCAGTTCAAAGAGTGGAACTGAACAGACCATAATCTTCAAGCACCGTTTTGAGTACAAAAATAACTTTCTTCTTGTAGCAAAGAAAAACCATCCGGCAGAAATTGATTTACCTCGAACCCCCACTATCTCATTGTTTGTATTTAAACTGTCTTATGTTTTCCATGTGGATCGGGTGGAGGCTGCCCTACATAAAGAAACAGATACGCAAGTCAAAAACCTTGCCAATTGATACCCAACAATCTATAGTAGAATGTTTCCAATACACTCAATGGTATCAAACTAGACCGTTAAAGCAACTATAGGCAATTTTTTTTTTCATTTTGGATAGAGAATAAAAGGGTTATAACTCCTGTCAGCTTTTTTTTCCCATCTGTGCCCCATTGTGGAGATTTCCCTTTACTTCCTGTCTCATTGCCAAACAGGAAGTGAGATGATATCCCTGCAAATTAAGGGAATCCCTTGGGGACCCCCGGGTCAGAAGAATTAGTGTCCCCATTGGAAGATTTCCCCTCTATTACTTCTCTGAGGACAACACAAAATTTGGGATTTTCTTTGACTTTCAATGATAATGGTAAACAGGACAAAGAAAGGGTGAAGCTCCCTAATGGGGGCATGGACTGCAATAAAACCTGAAAGAGGTTCTAATCCAGTGGTTCTCAACCTTCCTAAGGCCGTGACCCTTTAATACAGTTCCTCATGTTGTGGTGACCCCCAACCATAAAATTATTTACCCAGTAATTATAATTCATGAGTGTCGTTTTACCTCCAATACTGCTGCTTTCAACACAGTAGCTGCTTTTAACAGAGTAGCTGCTTTCAACACAGCAGCTGCTTTCTACACAGTAGCTGCTCTTTACACATCAGAAATATGTGTTTTCTGATGGTCTTAGGGGACCCCTGTGAAAGGGTCTTTCGACCCCTAAAGGGGTCGCGACCCACAGGTTGAGAACCACTGATCTAATCCATCTCCACTATATCCAAAGATAAAAAAGAAAAGTTTTGCTTTTAGTTATATTTTAAGTAACAACCAGGGACGGACTGACAACTCATGGGGCCTCCGGGCAATAGGGGATCATGGGGCCCCTTTGTCCTCACCCACACTCAAATCACACCCAAAAAAGCCTATGAAAGATACCAGGGACATCTCATGGGGCCCCCTACTGACCCCGGGCCCTCGGGCAGTTCCTGAGTTCCCCAATGGTCAATCCGCCCCTGGTAATAACCATCCACTTGATCCTCTACCTCTCACTTAAACCGTATTTTATGTCCCATTAACCAAGGTCTCCCATCCTTCCTCTACTTGCTCTACAACAGACCAACCATCATCCACCCAACATACACTACCTAATATGTACCACTAGACCCAGTGCACTAGTTCAGTCTCAAAATGTATTATCAAAAAGAATACAGTTTTTATTCCATTATCGTATTGGCCAAATGTTATGACCACCTTTATTGTCAACCAGCCAAGTTTCGAACCATGTATGAGCAGACTGAATTTATTCAAGTTGATTGATCATTCAACTTGGGTACAACCAGCCTGAAGGATTTTACATGCGATTATTGCTAACGGCTGTTATAGCCACTAGCAGTTATCCCTGTGTTCTCCCGGAAGGGGACACTGCCACCTCTGCATCTGTCTATCTGTGAAATTTCCTGGCTACTAAATATTCCACGGTCAGCTGTTAGTGGGATTATAACAAAGTGGAAGCAACTGGGAACAGCAACTCAGCCACCAAGTGGTAGGCCACGTGACATGACAGAGCGGGGTCAGCACATGCTGAAGCGCACAGTGCGCAGAAGTCACCAACTGTCTGCAGAGTCAATAGCTAAAGACCTCCAAACTTGGTGTGGCCTTCAGATTAGCACAACAACAGTGTGTAGAGAGCTTCATAGAATGGGTTTCCATGGCTGAGCAGCTGCATCCAAGCCTTACATCACCAAGTGCAATGCAAAGCGTCGGATGCAGTGGTGTAAAGCACACTGCCACTGGACTCTAGAGCAGTGGAGATGTGTTTACTGGAGTGACCAATCACGCTTCTCTGTTTAGCAATCTGATGACCGTGTCTGGATTTGGCAGTTGCCAGGAGAATTGTACTTGCCTGACTGCATTGTGCCAAGTGTAAAGTTTGGTGGAGGGGGGATTATGGTGTGGGACTGTTTTTCAGGGGTTGGGTTTGGCCCTCTAGTTCTAGTAAAGGAAACTCTTAAGGCATCAGCATACCAAGACATTTTGGACAATTTCATGCTCCCAACTTTGTGAGAAGAGTTTGGGGATGGCCCCTTCCTGTTCCAACATGACTGCGCACCAGTGCACAAAGCAAGGTCCATAAAGACATGGAGGAGCCAGTTTGGGGTGGAGGAACTTGACTGGCCTGCACAGACTCCTGACCTCAACCCCATAGAACACCTTTGGGATGAATTAGAGCAGAGACTGTGAGCCAGGCCTCTACCCCAGACATCAGTGCCTGACCTGACAAATGTGCTTCTGGAAGAATGGTCAAACCTTCCCATAGACACCCTCCTAAACCTTGTGGACGGCCTTCCCAGAAGAGTTGAAGCTGTTATAGCTGCAAAGGGTGGGGCCAACTCAATATTGAACCCTACGGACTAAGACTGGGATGCCATTAAAGTTCATGTGTGAGTATAGGCAGGTGGCCCAATACTTTTGGCAATACAGTGTATCTCCTCACAGCCTGGCAAACATCACTGAAAAGCGTAGATCACTTTTTAGAGGGGTGGAACAAGTGAACGAGCCCTTAGAGTATTTAGTCTCATCACTGGGACAGAAGAGACTATTGAAATGCTTCATCCTGCCTGCAGCAGACCGATTACATCATCTAAGCCTAGGCAATGATACTGACTGAATCTACATAAGGCAAAAAAAAAAAGAAAGAATTTTTATTTAGTTGTCTGCATACATCCCAGTGAGAAGAAAGAAAAGAAGACTTTTATTTCAGTTATGTTTTGTTCTTATTAAATTCTTAAAACCTATACATACATTTTGCTTATAATTATTTTATTATGCAGACTGGCATTTAGTTGTTTTATTGGCCTTTTTGGTAAATGATAACTTTATATTAAACATATACTGGTCATGGTTGTACACTGGGCCTGCAGATTATGGCCTGTAGTGGCTGTGACTCAGACGCTCGCTGTTCATTTTGTTGTATGCTGTAATTATTCATTGTTTGCCCATTAGCTGAGCGTAAGCCCAGAGTCTCTACTCCATAGCTGGCATTTAGGAGCGCATGTTCTGTCTATTGCTGTGTTTGGAACACAGAGTTATTACTAATTATACCCCTAGAAGAATCTGGACCCTGCACTTTCAGTTCATTGTGGAACATCTAATGAGTTCCTTTTCTTATGTCTAATGGCTGCAGCGGTGTGCCAGTACTCTCGAGTACAATTACTGAGAAGTGGACAGAAAGTGATAATAGCAAGAGAGTTCCCTTAAAGAATTTGTAAGTGGAGCTACTATTAAAGTGGAACTGGACTGAAAAAAATGAGTGTTGGAATACAGTGTTCATGTATTTTGTGCAACAACTACATCCGTATTTAGTAGAGATATATTCTTCAACCAGTAGATGGCAGTGTTTATAAGTTTGTAGCTGCATCTATGGTATTCTCCAGCCTATTTCAACCAGGGTGCCCAGGCACTGTGGAGTGCCTTCAGGTTTCTTCAGGGGTGCCTTGCCAAAATGCCTAAAAATTGTATACAAGCCAAGGGGTGGATCAAGTTTGCCTGCACAAAGCCAAACGTTTTTATTGAGCACCATTTCAAATTCCAGCTTCTGATGTCCTAACGACCAATGATGTCATTGATATGGAGGTGCCTGCACAGCATCCTTGTTTGCCCTTCCCATATCCCTCTCCATTAGGTGAATGAGGGAGAGAAACCGAGGAAGAACGCTGGAGTACTAGGCAGTACCAGTGTGCAAAGGCATATTTGCTTTGGAAGAATAAATTACCTCTAACATTGGGTGTCATACATGTGTGGATGTTGCTGCGTTATAGAAAAGTATAAGTTTCGTTTTTTACATTTTCAAATGAAGTGCCTCAAGATTGTCCATTATGGGTGCCTTGACTAGGTTGAAAGACACTGGTATACTCTGTCTTTTCCCTGAATAACGCTTCCTGTTTCCTTGTTGCAGTGAAGCATAAAGGCACATGTGGACTGTGCACCGTCTGTTCTGTAGGGATATATATAGAATTTCTTACAATAAGCTATGCTATCTTCCTGTGCCTAGGCACACCCATTCTGTAGCTGTATATCTTCAATTTGGAATCATCTAAGGCACTGCTAGTTTCATGAGATTTGGTGAACCACTACTGTGCTTCTCACTGTTCTCCTTGCTGGAGAGAAAGCTGTACCAGAGGGCCTGCAATGCAAGGATCTCCCAGCTTTTGCTTCATTCTGTAGGTCTGAGCCAAACAGGAAGATTCATGTATCAGTTAAAATAGAATTTCGGGATAACCCTAACTAATCTTAAAAATACTCCCTTTCCTTTCCTGACATGTATGCTTACTAACCTGTGTAAAATGCCTTTACGTACCTGTTTTCATGCTGATCCAGTCAGGTCACCTTACTTAGTGAATGCTGCTACAGGGGAGAAGAGGGTGCACTGACAATGGATGGGCCATAGTAAGCCTATAGGTAACATCACCACTCAGGCATTACCAGCCATTGTCGGAGCCCTCTCTCCTCTCCCCTGCAGCCAGTCGCTGGGTAACACAGGGGAGATGACGTGACCATACTGGAGCAGCATGAAAATAGGTAAGAATACAGATCTTACATACAGTAGTAGGTTTTAGGAGAGGGGAGGGAATACTTTTAAGATTAGTTAGGGTTACCTGGAATTCTACTTTAACCTCTTCCCATCCTGCCCATGTTGATAAATGGCTGGACGGGAGCGCTGCTGATGTGGGTGGACGTTTCTAAAAGTCCCCCCACATCCATTGCCTGTGCGCGCTCCCTGGGAGCGCATGGCACTGCCATCGGTGCCCACTGTGTCCTCTGGACAGAGCGGAACCCAGATTGCTGTATTGGACCTCTGTGTGAGGTCCCGATTCATGTAATCGCTGATTGGCCAATCAATGATCACATGAACAGTAGTAAACAAGATGTCACTTCTGACATCATTGCTTACTACTTGTGAAATCTGTGAATGATCACAGAGGTCACATGGTACAAGGCTATTCACAACAGCCTTGTACCATGTGACAAGCTGTGACCAATCACAGCTCACACAGTATTTCTCAATGGCTGCAGGAATGCAGCCAGAGAGAAGGAGAAATGATTGCTTTTACAGGAATAGTGACCCATCACTGGTATCAGTGGAAGGAATAGTGCCCCATCATTGGTATCAGTGGGAGGAATAGTGCCCCATCATTGGTATCAGTGGGAGGAATAGTGTCCCATCATTGGTATCAGTGGGAGGAATAGTGTCCCATCATTGGTATCAGTGGGAGGAATAGTGCCCCATCATTGGTGTCAGTGGGAGGAATAGTGCCCCATCATTGGTGTCAGTGGGAGGAATTAGTGCCCCATCATTGGTGTCAAAGGGCCAAGGGCCATATCCGGCCAACAAGCCGAAGTGTGGAGACCACTGCTTTATAATAGCACCAAGGTGGTTAGTGTTGAGCAGTCCTGTAGATTTAGAGCCTTTTATGCTTCTTTTGGCTCCTCTATAGAAACGCACAATACATGCGCAAAGAAGCGATGGTGTGTTATGAAGTGCGCAGCAATATTGATTTTTGGGGTGTAAAACTGGAGTATAGCATGCTCTCTAGAAGACTAGAGGTAAGTATTTATTTATTTCTTTCAGGTACTTATATAGCGCCATAATTTTACGCAGCGCTTTACATATATATTGTACATTCACATCAGTCCCTAACCCTCAAGGGGTGTACAATCTAAGGTGTAAGTAGAGGACTTGCACCAAGTGACCAGCTTTCTTGTTCTATTTTAAACAATGTTCTCTCTCAAATGTTACTTTTTGCATGAGACAAACCTCCTGAGACCCTATCTGTTTGGACAGTATGGTGACTGCTCCCTCAACAAGATCTACACATATCCAATTTCTAATCTGATTTTGTTTAGTTTGGTAATAAAGCCTGCCATACAGAGACTTGACAAATTCCGATCCATGTATGGGCAGGGTGTTTGGATCGGGATCAGTAGACCGACTTCTGTACACCCACCCTGTTGGATTTTTGCCACTTGATCAGTGTATTCTGACAGTGGAGAGAAGTGTCCCTGCTGTCAGAATACAATAGCTCAGTGGGTGGATGGGGGAATGGAGCCATTGTTTTCTCATTCAACCCACTGGTTTAACAAAGGAAAATGACTAATCTATGGGCCTCACACAAGTCAAGACTGTGGGCAGGATGGCTGAGAGGGTCATGTTTTCCCATTCTGCATCAGAAGACATAAAGTTGACAACTGAAAAGGCAAACTGTAACCCTACTCTGCTAACAGGAGCAGGAGCGAGTGATCTACACTGAACACCATTCCACAACATAGGCACTATGCAGAGATAGAAGGACCTCACTGTATTGCATTGGTAGCCAGAGTGTCAGCCTACAGCGAAATGTCATCATTTTGGCATTGGAGTCAATGGGGAAGGTGCCAACTACCCCTTTGCCTACCAGAGCAACTTTTTCCATTTTTTGCACACAAAGTAAAATCTGGATTTTTTTTTGCTAGAAATGACCCCCAAAAAGTATATATTTTCTGAAAACAGAGACCATAGAGAATAAAATGGACATAGCTGCAATTTTGTATGTCATTGAGTATTTATGCCTTTATTTAGCAATTGCATATCTTCAGAAAAAACATTAAAAGAAATTTTAGTGCAAACAAAAACAATATTATACCCATTTGTGGTAAAATATAAGTGATGGGGTTGCATCGAGTAAATAGATACCAAACATGTCAAGTCTTAAAATCGTGCACACCTGTAGAACAAAAAAAAAAACCTATGGATTCCAAAATTCTCCATAGGCGAAGCTTTAAAAAGGTTATCAGTTGGAAGTTGGCTATGGTCTTAGATGAATTGCTTTCACCCTGGTGATGTCTCATGTGTGGTGCAATTGATGTTTTTTTTGGTTCTACAGGTGTGCACGATTTTAAGACTTGACATGTTTGGTATCTATTTACTCGATGCAACCCCATCACTTATATTTTACCACAAATGGGTATAATATTGTTTTTGTTTGCACTAAAATTTATTTTAATGTTTTTTATGAAGATATCAATACACATGGTAATCCTATGCTGCACTTTTTATATGGTGTGTGCAGGGGGTGCTGTAAAACTTTTTTTAAATTAGTTTTATTTAATTTATGTCATTCTTTTTTCCCTAGCTTGTTATGGAGACACTCAGGGGTGTATTTACCACAAGGCAAACAAGTAATTTGCCTAGGGCGGCATTTTTTAGGGGGGGCAGCACTGCCCCATGGAAGAAGGGACATATGTGGCATGGGGACCAGGTGGGATCCAAGAGAGGCTGCGGGCTGATTGATGGTGTATGCAGATCCTTACTGTCGTTCCTAGGGATGTCCAGAGCTGTGAAGGTGAGTGTCTTTCTCACTGTTGTCGGAGGGGGGTGAGGTTTGTGTTAGTGGAAAGCTCTCATGGGTGGGGGGGGCAGGGGTGTTGTTGGTCACTGTCAGGCTCTCTCTCCGCGGGGGGGGTCTGGTGTTGGTCGGTGTCAGGCTCTCTCCGCTGGAGTGTTTTGTCCATCAGAGTACCTTGAAAATGCTTTGCATGCATTTTTCATGATGAAAAAAGGCTCTGGACAGCATTGGAAACTAGAAGAGTTAAACAAACATTTCAAACGCAAACGCTTATAAATGCGTTTAGCCGCGTGTTCCATTTGAAACGCTGAGAAAATTGACTGCTGAACGCAAGTTTTCTGTGTTCAAAAATATGACTGTAAACTCAAATGCCTGTAAATGGCGATGTGTACATGGACACATAGGAAAACATTAGGGAGAGTTCAGGGGCTGCTGAAGAAAACGTCGAACAACTCCTGAACGTGAGTTTATCAGCTACAGTGTACATGAGCCCTAAAGCTTCACAATGGATTACTGCACAGATCTGGAAGAAATACTCAAAGCACAAGATTCAATGCCTGTCGTATTTAGACATTTTTTGCTTACCCTGGAGTTCCGCTTTACAGGTGTCATTTTTTTTTTAAGAGTCCAATAAGCTTTAAATGGCTCTTATTACCCTCGTTGTTTATTTTCTCGGTAATTGAGGAATTGAAGGTCTTACCATGCTCATAGTTTGTTACAGACTATCACAAAGGCCATTCTTCCTCTGTAAGTATTTATCTACATATGGTGAATAAGTGTTTGCATTTGGGTAGCATTCTGTTGAAGGGGCTAAACATTGTGGACCTTTAGTGAGGATCATGATGAGTGTCTGTCTGTGTACCATCTTTGGTAGTTCTGCTGTCCTAGGCCATGGCCTTGGCCAATTATAGTCAATCCATTACATCAATACAAAGACACATTGCTCATGTGTGTTCTCATCTCATACAGCATATTACTTTCTCCTTCTGCTTTTTACAGCGTTTTGGGCCTTCCTCTGGTTCGTGTGCTTCTGTTTCCTGGCCAACCAGTGGCAAAGGACGCCTTACTCACAGGAAGTGGACCAAGCAGCTGATGCGGCAAGAGCTGCCATTGCCTTTTCCTTTTTCTCTATCATCACTTGGGTAAGATAAAGACTGCTCGTTGGCTATTTGTGGTATTTTCCAACAGGTGTAACTACTCTGTTGGTTGGTGTTGTTATGGGTTTGGAACTTGGAAGCAATTGCTACATAAAAATTATATATCTGACTACACATTATCAGTAAGGTTCAAGGGAGAGAGATTTCATAATTCTACTTAACAAATCCTATTGTCAGGGGTCAAGCACGGAGGCCAGTAGTGATAGCAGTAGAGAAACTCCCACCGACCAGCAAGATAGGTACACAAGCAGGTCACATTGGCTGATGACTTGGGCTCACCTGAGGTGCGAAGTCTAAGCACTAACCCGTGTTCACCAGAGCTCCTGATGGGGGAGTTAGGTTTTGCTACCCTTACTTTGGTTGTCATTGAAGAAGCCACCATTACATTGGTGGTAAATGGAGTATGGCCTTGTAACAATGGCAGTCAATGGAGAAGCTCCTCCTGACATTGGTGGTCAGTGAGAGAAAGAACACACCTACATTGTTGCTCAGTGAGAAGAACCCACCTACATTGTGCTCAGTGAGAAGAACCCACCTACATTGTGGTCAGTGAGAAGAACCCACCTACATTGGAGTAGGACCCTCTAACACAACTTGTCAGTGGAGAAGGCCCCCATGACATTGGCCAGGTGAACCACGGTTTGTGTCCACAAAACCAGTGAAGTCCTAGGATGAAAGTCTTATCATAAAAAAAAAAATGTGTATGAGATCTTAACTGTCTTTGTTGTTTGTTCATTAAAGGGTCAGTTGACCTTAATGAAGATATTTACTACCAAAGTAATTCATACACTATATGCGTTCAGTCAGTGAAGCCTGTTTGTTATCCTATTCCAACAAGAATCATGAGGAAGGTCTCTTATTTCTTTCATGTTGACACATACAGTGAAGGAAATAAGTATTTGATCCCCTGCTGATTTTGAATGTTTGCCCACTCACAAAGAAATGATCTGTCTAAAAATCTAATGGTAGGTGTATTGTAGCACTGAGAGACAGAATTGCAACAAAAAATCAGAAGAAATGCATGTCTAACAAATGATGACTGATTTGCATGTTCATGAGGGAAATAAGTATTTGATCCCCTTCACAAAACATGACTTAATACTTGGTGGCAAATCCTTTGTTGGCAATCACAGAGGTCAGATTTTTCCTGTAGTTGGCCACCAGGTTTGCACACATCTCAGGAGGGATTTTGGCCCACTCCTCTTGGCAGATCCTCTCCAAGTCATTAAGGTTGTGTGGCTGACATTTGGCAACTCGGACCTTCAGCTTCCTCCACAATCGGATTAAGGTCTGGAGACTGGCTAGGCCATCCCAGGACCTTAATGTGCTTCTTCTTGAGCCACTCCTTTGTTGCCCTGGCCGTGTGTTTTGGGTCATTGTCATGCTGGAACACCCATCCACAACCCATTTTCAATGCCCTGGCTGAGGGAAGAAGGTTCTCACCCAAGATTTGACAGTACATTGCCCTGTCCATCGACCCTTTGATGCGGTGCAGTTGTCCTGTTCCCTTAGCAGAAAAACACCCCCAAAGCAGAATGTTTCCACCACGTTTGACAATTGGGATGGTGTTCTTGGGGCCAGCATTCCTTTCTCCGGTTTTATCAGCTGCTGACCCATCTCCTCCCCCCGTCTCTGGTCTTCCCAGCAAAAACCCGAGACTTTTCACTCGCTCCTTCTCGCTCTCTGCACAATCTTCTAGCTGCACTTGTTGGCAGGGACACCTCTCTACACTGTGACCCCCCCCTCTTGCCTCCGCTTCTATCTGATGTATTGACTTCCCTATCCCCCCTTCACTGGATAATGGACGTTGAGGCAGAAAACTAACACTTCAGGCAGATCAGGAAACAGAGGACAATGTCCTAACAATACCTGACTGTACTCTATCTCTTTGACCTTCAACAAACCCCAAGCATCCTCGTGAATGGCAAACATCAAACCACAAACACATTTAGGACATGACATATCAGTCTATCTCAGTGGGCTACGAGTACAGATCACTGAGTTACCTTCGCCACATGGCTGCGGCACCCCGCCGTCACACTACCGTGACGTGTAAATGACACCTCCTCTTGTTCCGCAACACACTATGCTGCCGCACCCAAGAGAAATTACGTGTCAACCCTCAGTAGTTCCACTCCTCGTCCACCTCAAGACTGACACAGAGACAGACACAAAAAACATAAACCAGGCAGCAGATAATCAAATGCAGGTAGGGTTCTAAATAGACTCCGGGCAAGCAATGTTACCTGTCTTTAGTGACCGTTAGCAGCCGCACTAGACACAGGAATGGACCAACAACAGGGACAGGATATGCACTGGATATATATAGGCGTGATCTTCTTCTAGGTGTTGTCCGAAAGGAGGTATTGTCTTTGCTGTTAAGCTTTTCGCTCGATGGGAGGGGTTGCTGAGCAGCCATTTTTGAGTAAGAATTTTAACACAAGCATGGAGACATACATTTGCATACGAAACATTTAGAAATATAAAAGTATAAAAGTAGATATGTACAAAATGTATAAAGAAGAAACCGAATAGGCATTTTACCATATCCATCACACAGGCACACTACTGCTGATGTCTGCAAATGGGATACCAAAAAAGAGGAGCAAGGGTCACTTTAAAGCAGAGCCCCAGAAATAGCCTTTTTTATTCTTGTTTTTCAAATTTTTGTCAGAATAGAGAAAAGTTTGATCCTGTGGAAGGCTTTAATTGTTGTCTGTGACCCTGATCCCAGAGCCCTTGCCTGCTTTGACAGCTATCACTGTGATAGGAGACAAGCCTCCTGGTTCTTCTATCTAGCTAAAGTGAAAGCTCAATACATCAAGGCCTTCTGCACATTGGACGTTTTTGATATCTCCTAGATGTCTTTCCTCATGGCAGCAGTGTTTTTGGGTGAAAAAACGCTTGATGTTTATAAACGAGTGTAAGTGCATCAGCGCTTGGGCGTTAATTCATTTCATTGGCAAGAATAATAATTATATTCTGGCCAGTGAAATGAATTCATGCTCAAGCACTAAACATGCTGAGCGTTGATGGTCAACAAGCATTTTTTCTGCTGCTCTTAAACTCTGCTTCTCCTGGACGCTCTGGAAGTGTTTTTTTTTTTTTTTATGCCTCTGAACGTCTATGTATGCATGGACAAATACATGCAGGGGTGTTTAGAGGCAGAAAAAAAAAAAAAAACGCCCCTAAGAGCAGTGTGCATGAGGCATTATACACTCACTAGCCACTTTATTAGTTACACCTATTCAATGGCTTGGTAACACAAATTGCTAATCAGCCAATCACATGGCAGCAACTCAATGCATTTAGGTATCTAGACATGGTAAAGACGACTTGCTGTAGTTCAAGCCAAGCATCAAAATGGGGAAGAAAGGGGATTTAAGTGACTTTGAACATGGCATGTTTGTTGGTGCCAGACGGGCTGGTCTCGGTATTTTCAAAAACTGCTGATCTACTAGAATTTTCACGCACAACTCCATCTCCAGGGTTTACAGAGAATGATCCAAAAAAGAGAAAAATATCCAGTGAGTGGCAGTTGTGTGGATGAAAATGCCTTGTCGATGTCAGAGGTCAGAGATGAATGGGCAGACGGGTTGCTGTGACATTCAGATGGTAGGGTCAGAATTTGGTGTAAACAACATGAAAGCATGGATCCATCCTGCCTTGTATCAACGGTTCAGCTGTGGTGGTGGTGGTGTAATGGGGTGGGGGAAATTTTTGTTGGCACTAGCAAGGTGTACCTAATAAAGTGGCTGGTGAGTGTAGGTAGGTGTCATGGAGAACACTCGAGGAAAGGCATAAAAAGTCGGATTCACTTTAGGTTAGCCTCTCTGTTGGAGTCAGAGACTACAGAAAAGAAAAAAAACTACCACCTCACCTAAGTCAAATGTTTAAAAAAAATGTTTTGGAAGCATTATGTTTAGCTTTATGTCTTATTAGCAAAACTTCTTTCGATTCCCATGTATCATTTCCCAGGATTTCTACATTTGTTAAACAGCAGAATTTTTGCATGCAATGTTCTAACCCCAGATAACCCTATAACCCAACTCTTCCTCCAGGTTGTCATGGCAGTGATGGCCTACCAGCGATTCCGCCTAGGGACCGACATGTCTCTCTTTGCGACGGATCAGTTTGGAAGTGGACCCAATGGTGGATACCCAGGATACCCAACGGGCAGTGGAATTGAGACCACGGAAACTTATCAGAGCCCTCCTTTTACTGAAAATGCGGACATCAACCCCAAGGGGTATCAGGCGCCCTCTTACTGATGGAGAGGAGGCAGCGCGGATGTTTGTATGCAGATAAAGCAGGTGTGCTGACACAGTACAGAGTATGGAATGACTAGTGCATTCTGCTCTACACTTTATATGTGTTAACCAGTGCTGGATTTTCTTCCTGTAGTTCCATGTACAGTGCACTCTGTACTGTGATATTGATTGCTTGTTTGTGATATTTTCGGAAAAGGGTTTATTTTTTATACTTTTTTTAATGTTATTCTTATTTTAGACAAAGTGTTCCCTCTAAGGTAGACCAACCCTCATTCAAACTTGTGAAGGTTTCTTTGGTGTGGCTAGGAGCAGTGAGAATGGCAGACACAACAAGGAAAAGGTTGGACGGGATATCAGTTCTCTGTATAGATGCCATACAATTGTTGATTATTAGCAAAAAAAAAAGGTCAAATTAGACCATCGTTGTTAACCAAGCCATCTATGGACTCCAGTTGACTTGAAAAGCCGACAGATATCCACTAGGATATAAAATGGTCTTCTCGGAAGATGCCATCATATAAGGACTGTATCAAGACCTTTAACACCACCATATCTGTCAGGTTTGGCCTTCAACATGGTTGGCCAAATTGGTTGCAGGTGAGGACCTTGCAGCTTACTAGTAGAACCTGTGACTGAGCCTGTTTGTCCATGTATGGGACATTTGGTTTCAGCTGACACAAGAACCTAGAGGAAGGAACGTAGACATCTCTATCTCTGTTTAGTCTTCAAAGTTCACGGGATGTATCAACTCTCATACAGTGCAAGGATGTCGGAGCCATTCCACACCATACATGGCTCTTTATTAATTAGAAAGGCTCAGTGCATTGCACTAAATGATGTTAGGAGGGTGTGGCATGGCTGGAAGTAACATATCAAACATTTGAGGGATGCTAGAGATGAAACTTTTATATTCTTGCTTGTAGGTTTCTTTGTCACATGCATTCCTTTATCCAGCTTTGCTTTAAGGTCCAGGTTGCATTGAAGTGGATTAAAAACAGAAAGTGTCTACCGACTGGAGTTAGTGAAATGGAAAGTTGTGCCAATCATAGAGAAGTTTTACATTTATTCAACAGTCTAATTTTGTACCAAAGTTTACACTGCCTTGGGTGACATTAAAGGTTGGAACTTCATCAAAATGCATGGTCTACTAGTCTTGTAGGCACTTCCATGTACAAAATGTAATTAGAAGAAAAAAAGTAAAGGTTTCTCACCTTATACCCATTTTCTGTCCACTCATGTTGGCAAGGGTGACATCATGGGCCTTTCCTCGGGTCCGAGAACCACGGAGGAACCCAAATCTTGCATGAACATACCCCAGCATTGTGCAGTAGACATGCTGGAAATTTTTGGATGCATTCGTTCATTGAAGAATTTTGTTTTGTCATATTTGTTATGTTGAACCAATTCATTTTTGGAATTTGTTTTGTATCTTTGCCATTTGTTTCATATATATGTTGGTCTTGGTGGATTCCAAAAATGTAACAGAAAAATTTCTATATATTGGACATATTATTGAATTGAATGGATGCTAATTGGAAGGATTCAATATTTTTGGGCGCCAATCCAAACCACCAAGAGAAATGGCATGAGCTGATTGGACTATATCAGCTAGCGCCATGTGCATCCAAATTAACGAGTGGAACGAAATTCGAATCCATTCATCATCTGAATTCAAATTATCAAACAAATTCAAAAATATAATTCATTTCCCCATGGGCCTGAACTACTGTTGCATCATGTGACATCATCCGAATGAAACGAATGCATACATTAATTTTGTTATAACTTTTTTTTTTTTTTACTCGTTGACATTCGTTACTATGTCCATATGGAGATTCGTATACATCCGAATCTCTGGAAATAAAAAAACAAATCGTAACGAAACACACACATGTATATTGTGCAGGATCATCTTCTTATGAGATTTGGGATCCGTACAGGGGCGGACTGACCATTTGGAAACTCGGGCACTGCCCGAGGGCCCGGGGTCAGTAAGGGGCCCCATGAGATGCCCCCGGTACCTTTTTCATAGGCTTTTTTGAGTTTGGGCAAGGACACAGGGGCCCCATGATCCCCTATTGCCCGGGGGCCCCGTGAGTTGTCAGTCCGCCCCTGGATCCATAGCTTTCCCAGGAGGATTCCGGAGGATGGTCCAATTGTAATGATAAAACATAATGGTGACATTACATTTGCTTATCGGAAGCCTTGTCTAAATTATTTCTTACTTTTTTGTTTTATTTTTTTTAACTGTGCTTTTCAACATGGAAGGGGGTCTATAAGATAAGTGGAGTATGGATATTGATGAAGTAAGGGGCCACAAAAACACTGCAATTGTATCGTTATGCCAACTTTACCAGCCCAAAACAGTGGATATGGCTTTTCAGTTGTCCCTTGACTTGATGCATTCTCATTAACTAGAATACCTGTGTGAGAAGACTCATTTGGAAGCTGCCAAGGATAAAATTGTAATACATTGCAGCTTACCAGCCTGTAGATGTGGTGACTGCATTAGGTTTTTTTTTTTTCCCAGGCTAAGCTCATTTCCAGCAAGTACAGGAAATACCTATTGATCAAACTAAAAATGCAGTGCCCTAGTAACTTCCTATGCACTGAACTAAAATCTCTGACAATATTATCAGCTTTCCCAGTTCTCTTCTTTGAACTACAGGACACCCCCTGTATATAATGGAGATGAGGAGATGTTTGTAGTTCAAATCAGAAGAGCAGTCGTAAGAACGCTATTCCTATACATTGAAAAAAAGTGAGCAAGCATTGGCTCCTTGGTGTGTTACTGGTCGGATCACCAGGTGAAGAGAAAAAAAAGCCTGAAAAATGTAAACTAACGCAGCCACCACATCTAAGGACTGGTATACTTGGGTTTAAATACTCTTTGAGTTATGCGCAATGCTATGTATCATATCATACAAACCAGATGATAGTAATCTGAGCATTGGGTACTGGACAAGTATGACATGATGAAGCATGAATTTGAGCTAAAGAATTGCTCCACCAAGCTGCATATGTATATCTCTTGTTGTCTGTTGGCACTCCTCCCCTTAAAGTGTTACTAAACCCAGGACCCTGCAACGGGCCGCTACACAGATCTGTCATCTGCCAGTGACAGGTCTCACTACAGTGTTGGCATGCAAGGTGAGATCTGGGAAGGTTGTCATATGACCCCAACCAGGATCGACGAGAGTCTCACTCGGCTGTCATTTTGCTATTGGCCGGGGGGTGAACAGGTTAAAGTGTTACTAAACCTAGGACCCTGCATTTACTATATCCACTCTCCCACACTACACAGAACATGGAAATGCAATTGGCTTAGTAAATTATTATTATTATACAGGATTTATATAGTGCTAACAGTTTGCGCAGCGCTTTACATTATAAGGGAGACAGTACAATTACAATACATTTCAGTACAGAAGGAATAGGAGGGCCCTGCTCGTGGAGCTTACAATCTAAATATAAACTGTTAAATACCTTTTCTCTTCAGCAGTATATAGCAGTCTTGTGACTTCTATCAGAGTCCAGTAGAGCACTGGTTAAAGCTTGTAGGAGGAGTTTTTATTCTGCTCTGACTGTCCTATGAGGCTGCATGACCCCTGACCCTCTGTCTGGAGGCCCTGTGCTGATCACATGCACCCTCCCAAAGGAAAGAAAAACTCTCTAGCAATACACACTAAACTGAGCATGTGCAGAGTGATTTCTAGAGCTCTGTACTATCAGCTGATGGATTGGAGACAGTAGAAGAAGAGAGGGATCAGAGAAGACAGGATCAAACAGCCTTTTTACACAATGCAGAGGATTAACCCCTTTCTTAAAATAGAAAACCCCTATAAAGTAACACAAAAATTATAAAAATGGGTGTCACCTGAACAGGTGAACCCCCAAAACAAGAGAGTTCATTAATCCATTGTTAACTAGGTCTGCATGCAAAATGCCTGTCAACCAAACAGTAGGGGGAGAAACCCCAATGAGAAAAGTAGGTACCCCTAGTGTTTGGTTTATAAAAAACGTAAGCCCAAAAAAATTGCAGAAAGGCAAAATGTCAGAAAAATTCCTATTAATAGTTTTGCAAAGTCATTTCCAACACCTTCTATGAGTAACCCTCCTTTGTGGCTTCTTAAGAGTATCTGGGGACTTTAAGATTGGACACGGTGCTTCTTGAATTCTGTAATGGTCCTGTCCAACCTTGGAATGATGATTAGGAACAATATAATGTGCCAAACCAGAACTGAACCTTAGAATATGGTTCTGTGCACACAAGATACTTGAACTTGTTGAAAACCCTACGAGAGACATTCCTGGAACCCTATCTTAATGACAGGAGTGGTGTAGTAAAGACATGACTACCTGCAGATAGGAGATCGTTGTACCTCTTGCTTTCTCAGCCATTTTGTGCCTCAATGATGTTGAATCTAAGTGATTTGATTGGCTCCACAGTGCTTCAGTCAACCTAATAGCTTTACCTACTGAATATTGGAGAAAGATACACACTAAAGTATCAGTGGTGTCACCCACAATAGAGCAATAACATTCTTTAATTTTCTGTAGTTAAAAAGTATTGTGTTCCATTGCTTTTACTTCTGGTTAGTACAGGAAGAGGTGGAACCTATATCAGGCTCTTATTTTTGTCTTTGTCCCCACTAGGAAGATATCAAATAATTTCCTTTCAGAGCAGAAAGAGAAGAGGAAATCTCCCTGGTGGGGAGAGATAAAGAATTGACCCTATCTACAAGCAGAAGAAAATGGTTGGGTCAAGTACCCAAGAACTGGTGCTTCATGTAGCCAAAAATGGGTCAGTTGAAGGTCCATTGTCTATGTGTGCCAGCAGGATACCACAGGCACTCCAAGCTGTCCGATCTTGGGGGAAGGAGGCCGTAGTGGTCAGCCAGGTTGAATAATTTTGTCTGATTGCAGTTGGTTGGGCCTTGCAGGTCCATTTCTACGATTCCCCTTCATGCATAGATTTACGCATGCTCAAGCTTACGTCA